CAACAAAGGGGAGAAGAGGGGCAACAGTGTAGAAAGAGGCTGTTTCAATCCTAGATCACAGGTGTTAGGCAAACTCTTCTTCTATCACCTTCTTATTTGCAAATATGGTGGGAGCAAAGAGAGGAAAATGTATAAGAGGAAAGGACTGAGTGAAATGCACAATTATTAACCACAACTATGAATGAAAATGGGATAAATTTATCCATTAAATGGAGAGACTAATAGAATGGAATAGAAAACAGAATCTAACAATATACTGTTTGTAAGAAACACACTTAAAATATTAAGATTCACCTATCATTAAAATGAAGAATTGGAATAAAATTTATTATGCTTCAGGGGAAATGAAAAAATCAGAGGTAGCAGACTTCAGATTAGATGTAACAATCATAATTTCAGAAAAGGCTATAGTAAATATAGGTATAATAAAAAGATATACAAAAAGAAACTATATTATGCTTAAAAGTACCATAGATAGTCAATAGCAATATTTAATATATACATACTAAATAGCATAGAATCTGAATATGTAATGGAAAAGTTCAGCAAATTACAGAGAAAAACAGATAGAAAACTATAATAATGGGAGACCTCAATGTACCTCCCTTATGTCCTGGACAAATCCAACCAAAAGAAGGAAGTTAAGGACCTGAAAAGAACTTTTAAAAAATGATAGATGATAGATCTCTTGCAATTACTATATGAGAATAGGAAGAAATTTCCATATTTCTCAAAATTTACAAAATTTACAAAAATTAATCACATATTGGGGCATTCCTTAATAGAAAAAGAATACTGTTGGAGATACTTTGTAAGATGTAGTCAGCTCTCCATTTTCCAGGTATGAAAGTCATCTTCTTTTTCCACCTGAATTTCTACAGTGCAAATTTTTAACCTCAGGTTAACTTTGCCCAGCACATTCCCATGCACCACCTAGATATGCAAAATAATAATTCTGTAATAGGCTTGTCCTTTAGGGAAACTACTATATTTCTGAGGATGTATGGGCCCGGAGCACAAACATTCATTGAACAACTAGGACTCCATTTCTGATGAGTCTCAGAACACAGCTATTGATTGGTAAGAGAGAGTCAGAGCTATACGGTCAATATAGACATAAAGGGACCCAGGGATCTAGGATTATTCCTGAGGGCCCCATAAATCAAGGTTGAGACATTCTGGCTACACAGAGGTGACAAGACTGGCTAAGGTTTAGGCACAGATGGGAGAACTGACGTCAATTCCCAAACTCTCACTCTAGAAGCTAGATACAGAGATCTTGCCAATGCCTTCCTTTTTAAAATCAAAACTTTTTAGAAGCATTTGAAAACCAAATTATCTTGGCAGAAGGGAAAGAGTATGCTATACAGTTCTCACAGAAAATGCAGGCTATGATTACTTTAATTTTAATAAATGTTTAATTGATGCTTTTAAAAAATACCGCTATGAATTCATGATGACTTCCTCCACCTCTATAAAAACTCTCTCTTGTAACGAAGTGTAGTGAAGCAAAATGATCAACATAGTGGTCATGTCTGCTAATGTATGCCTCATTCTGCACTTACAATCTACCATTTCTCTGGTAAGAGTTGAGAGGCATGCTTTTCTTCTTCTGTTTCCTGCTTTTATTTGTTCTCCGAGTCTCCAGACCTCCTCATCTTTCTTCAACGACCTTCTCATCCTCTCACCCCTGCAACCCTTCTTCTCACTGTAGAACATCCTTCTGCCCCATGACTCCCTTCTCCTATTGGAGAGATCTTCCCAGAACAGCCATTTTGCCAGCTAGCCTTCATTTCTCCGTTGACTCTGCTTCTGACTCTCTGGACTTGGCCACCATGCCCCCAACTTTTCAGCTTCCTTTCATATACCGTCTTCCCCCATTAGACTATACACTCTTTGAGGGCAGAGACTATCTGTCTTTTTGCATACAAATGTCATTGGTCCTCTTCGAAAACAAAAGACAACAACAACAATATCCCCAGAACAAAGTCTAGAACCTAGGCAACAATAACTGCTTATTGATTTGACTTCTTTCATTCTTGTAAATTCTGGATTGACTAGAGTTCTAGAGTGGTTTGGTGGAGAGGGGCGGTGTAAGAGTGGGTTTAGGCGAAGGGAGTGTGATAATATTCTATGCAAACAGCCTAACAGTGCTGGATTTGATGTGAGAAGACCTGATGCAAATCCCAGCTCTGCCACTTGGTAACTATTTGACCTAGGTCAAGTAACAACCCATCAAGGCCTCAGTTTCTTCATCTGTAAAATGAAGAAAATGGGATAACCTTCAAGGTCCCTTCTAGGTCTAAATCTACTATCATATACCACAATTTATTCAACTATTCTTCAACAGATGGACACCCACTTTTTCTCCATTTCTTTGCTATTACAAAAAAAAAAAGAAAGTTTCTATTTTTTTGTATACATGGGGTCATTCCTTCTACTTTCTTTTTAAGCTGCCTAGAGTTATGTGCCTACCAGTGGTATCACCGGGTTAAAAAATAAATATAGTTTGGTGATTTTTCTAGTGTGATTGGAACAATCTTTGATTATTTTCTGTTGCTTTACTATTCATTTCTGCTCTGAATCAGTGTTTTATGTTTCAGTGTTTCATTCTTAGTCTTTGGTTTGCCGGCAGTTGAGTCACAGACTACAGTAGGAGCAAGCTAATTAGAGAAATCTAAATCTGAGTAGGGGCAAAAATAAGTCAGAGAGCTTTATTGCCAAAAACATCAATCCACCTTATGGGTTACATTTGCCTGCTGATCACCCCCTCTGTGTTTGTTTCTTTCATTTTTCAACCAACCAGATTGGAAAAGACCTTTTTGTGGCCCTGTTTGGAGTTATGATAAATCTGCCTGACTGCAATTACATATTTTGTGTTAAGTCCTGGCATCAGGCACTATAATCATGGACAAGAAACTGCCTTTCAGAATATCAGTTTTCTCAGCTGAAAAATAAAGACAATAATATTTGTACTACCTACCCCTTCAGGATTGTCGTGAATAAAATGCTTTGTAAGCCTTAAAGTAATACGGAAATAGAAGCAATCATCATTGTATTTTTCTTCATCTCTTACCCCAATTTTTGACCTCTGTTGTTGCTGCAGGAAGCCACATATGCTATCTCTCTCTTTTTTCTTACCCCTTATATTCCCTGTCATATCACTGCCTCTCACTTCCGTTTTGGTTTGTCCTTCCCAGAGACGGTGATGCAAGGACAAGACTTAGTGACAGACTCGTATGCTGGCTATCTAAAGTGGGAAAAGCAAAATTACTGGATGAAGACGCTTCATTACCTTTCTACACTCCCTTGTCTTTTGACTACTTAATTCAATGGATGGGGGAAGATTTCTTTACGGAACAGAAGTAAAGTAACTCTGCCTTCTCTCCATTAGCTAGAAACCATCTTTCTCTACTTTGGAGGTGGTGGATGAATGAAAACAACAGAAGAAGATGAAAAGAAAAGAAGTGAAAGAGGAGAACTAATGATGGAAATTCAGAAGCATTCTGTTTGGCATATGGAATTAGGGAGCCAGAAGAGCTAAGAAAGACACCACAAGAAAAACTCTACTCATTGATAAATTGAATAAAAGAAGTAATAGAGTACGAGGAGCATGGGAAGAGGAGTTAAATTCTATTGTGTTTATTGTGAAATGGGGAGAAGTCAGAGACAGAAGAGACACTGTGTAACCAGATGGAAACATATACTACTACCAGAAACTACCAGACCTGCCTTCTACTATCTGGATTTCCAGTGGCTCGTGCAGGAACTGTAGTGCCCAGACCTATGTCATCTCCTATGTCAGCTATACTGCTTTCATCATGCCTGGATACAGAACTGGACCTGCAGTCAGGAATTCGAGTTCAAATCCAGTCTCAGACACTTATAGCTACGTAAATCTGAGTAAGTCACTTAGCTTCCTCAGTTTCCTCTTCTGCAAAATGGAGATCATAATAGTACTTACCTCCCAGGGTTGTTGTGAGGACAGAACAAGATAATATTTGTAAAGTGCTTTACTAACCTGAAAGTAGTATATAAATGTCAGCTAGTATCACATGATATATATATATGTACCCCATTTTATATATTTATATGTTTTACACATATTCACTCATACATACACTATAAAATGAAACCCATTTTGGGAAATTGGTTTTCAGAGAAGTTGGTTTTATCTAGCAAGAAGAAAAAGTTGAGAGATGCATAATAATAGTTTTCATAAATAGAAAGATAAGTAATGAACTCTCAATTAGCCACATATAAATTGTCTGCCTTGTGGATAAGCTATAGCAAATTAAAGCTATTCAATTTCAGTATTGAATTGATTACTTAGTTGAATTTTTATTTAATGCTTGTGTCTGATACTCTGCTTGGCATTAAAAAGCACCTATGCAGTGGTGGACAAGATCTAAGTTCAGATCCTGCCACAGGCACACTAATTAGCTATGTGACCATGGGTAAGTCATTCCATCTCTCTAAGCCTCAGTGTCTTCATCTGTAAAATGCCATTCAAAGGGTGGTTAGAAAGATCAGTCAAGATAATGGTTTGTTGTTTCTGGTCTTTTGGAGGCAGTTGGGGTTAAGTGACTTGCCCAGGGTCACTCAGCTAGTTAGTGTCTGAGGTCAAATTTGAACTCAGGTCCTCCTAACTTCAGGGCCAGTGCTTTATCCACTGCTCCACCTAGCTGTCCCCAAGATAGCATATATAAAGTACTTTGTAAATCTTTGAGTGCTCTATATGATCTACTATTAGATGCATACGGGGATACAAAAGTGGTTGTCCCTTCTTTGACTAGGTTATAATCTAGTAATTAATCTCAGACTTATTGCTCAGTGGATAGAGCACCAAACCTGGAGTTAGGAAGATTCATCTTCATGAGCTCAAATCTGGACTCAGATACTTATTAGCTGTGTGACCCTGGACAAATCACTTAACTCTGCCTCATCCTCATCTGTAAAATGAGCTAGAGAAGAAAATGACAAAATACTCTGGTGTCTTTGCCAAGAAAACCACACAAGGGGTCATGAAGAGTCAGAAATGACTGAAAAATGACTGACTGACAATAATAAATCTCAGACACCCTTTTGCTTGCCATCTAGCATACTTCGGGACCACTTTCTTATTCTGTTATTTTTCTTTTTATTGATATTGCTTATTTTTACAATACCTTCATTTCTAATTATATCTATCCCCCCCCTCAGTGAGTTATCCCTTATAACAAAGAATGATGGATAAAAAAAAAAGCGGTATTTCAAATTTGACCAAAGCATCAAGCAGGGTGCTTTTGGTCTGACAGGGTGTCCCACAATGTTCCATACCCAGTCCTCCACCTCTGCAAATACTGTTAGTTTTCCTCACAACAATATAGTGAGGTAGGTAGTATAAACATCATTAGCCTTTTTTATAGATGAGGAAATTGAGGTGCATGGAGCCTCTAAATTGCCTTTTCCATTGTCACAAAGTTTATAAAATGCTCAGGGAATATAAATCAATATACATTATAGTACAGCAAACCTAATTTGGAAGGCAAATTTACCGCAATAAAAACATCCAAAGTCCAATGGAAATGACTTTCATCTCATTTGCTGCTAGCGATTACTCATCCTACATCCTCCCTTCTTGAGTGCAAATAATCAACGGTTGAACATAGAAGTAACAGTCTTGTCCAATGGAGTAAGAGTCATTTGGTTTGCAAACCTGGATGACCTTACTGTAAACAGGCTGGGAGACACTGAAACACGTGTTAGTGTGAGGTCTGGAGTCTCTTCCTCTTTGGGATGCTTTAGGAGGTAGAGAAGTAAAAACTGGAGATACATCCATCCCATGGCACCGGACTTCTTCCTTCTTCTGGATCCTAATCGTCATGCACAACAGATATCTGAAGAGAAAGCAGAGGACCTGTTAACCTAAATCTAAAGCTTCATGTGTCGATCTCTTCAGCATATATAGGGTTGCATTACTCCAGAAGGCATCAGGCATTTGACCTGGTGGTTGATCTATGGTATAAATTGCTTTATTTATTCCAGGCAGCAGGGAGCAGCAAAAGCCAGCAAACCCTGAAAACTACCCAGTGGCCTGGCACCAAAGAATATCTACCCAACTTGCTCTGTAGAGACCACTGTTTTACCCCATCTATAAAACTTATCTGTAAATATATCTTCTTTCTATACTAATCTAAAGATTGCAGGGTTTTGCCAATATATTTTTTATTGGCTAATATTCACAAATATTGAGAGAAATGATTATTAATAACCAATTATTTGGGGGATATAGAGTTCTCTTTTTCTAAAGTTCTGATTTTTAAAAGTTCAGTCTCTTGAAAGACATTGCTAATAATGAGATTGGACTAACTTTCTTGTTCAGACCCCACCCAAGCGGAGTAGCCATTGAGTTCCGCTTAGGCTTGTTGTGGGACATACATTCTTTGAATGGATTGCCCAAGGCTGGGGGTAATCTGAGTATAGAGTAAATCTCTCTATCTAAGAGTGACATGTTGTCACTCTCAGCCCCTTAGGAACACCTACTCTTCCAAGGGTATATAAACTGTGACACCTCCCCCACACCTCCCCTTTCTCTTCCCCCCTCCCCTCCACCATGATTGTCTTTGGTCTAAGAAAGATGGCCAAATGACCATCTTTTTATTAATAATGTGCTGGCCTTATATAAAATGATTAAATTACCCAGAAACTATGTCTCTTGAACCTTTTTAATCACCACAATATCCTTTAACTGTATAGATCTGTACAAACTCCTGAATTATTTTTTTTTTTGGTGAAGTGATTGGGGTTAAATGACTTGCCTGGGGTCACACAGCTAGTAAGTGTTAAGTGTCTGAGATAGGATTTGAATTTAGGTGCTCTTGACTCCAAGGCCAGAGCTCTATCCACTGCACCACCTAGCTGCCCCAAGTCCTGCATTTTCTAAGAACTCCTCAGCCCTGAGACTGCGCAGCACAGTGGAAGGATTTGAAGTCAAAGAACCTGAGTTTGAATTATGACCGTGATTTTGGTCAAGCCACCTTATCTCTCTCAGCCTCAGTTTCCTCATCTATAAAGTGGTGGAGGGGGAGGAATTACAAAATAACTTTTGAGGTGACTTTCAGCTCTATTGCTATGATCCTCTATCTTTCCTACTCCTTGGTTCCTTTCCATATACAGCAGTCTTCACACCCCTCCCCTGTGCAACACATTTCTTCCCCTCACCATCATGTCTCTTTCTTGCAGACTAGATAGTGTTTATAGAAAACCACAGGAGAAACGTGCAACTGGAGTCAGCCCAAGAATCAACTTGGTCATCCAACATCTTCTTGCCTCTTCTCAGGAGCTGCTATACAAATGTGAGTGTTTCCTTCCTTGGGGTCATGCTCTACACACTTAGCTTGCCTGGGAAGCATAAATACAAGAGAAAGGTTAGTTAGAGTCAGCAGGGAGATGCAAGCATTCTATGAACCATGGCCCCTTTTCACACTACCTGTCCTATGTATTGTAATGGCAGCCTAACTGCTTTCCTTATTTCTAAGCTCCCTTCTCTAATCTACCCTGCATAACACTATCAGATTAATCTTCCTCAAATGTTGTTTTTGTTGGGTCATGCTCCTGCTCAGGTTCTCTGGTGGTTCCCTATTCTTATCAAATTAAATCTAAATTCCTCTGCTTGCTTTTTCAAGGTCCTCCTCCTCTCACTCGGTTCTCAACCCCCTGCCATCTAGCATCCAACCTCATAATTCAACTGAACTGCTCTCTCCAAAGTTACCGATGATGCCATACTTGCCAGATTGAATGGTCTTTTCACAATCCTCATACTGCTTGTTCTCTCTTCAGCCTTTGACATTATTATTTGCCCTCTTCTCTCTGCTCTCTTCTCTCCAGGTTTTTGTGACACTTCCTCCTGGTTCTCCCATCTGTCTCATGGTTCCATCTTAGTCTCCTTTGCTGGATCTTCATCCAGGTCACATCCACTCACCATGAATGTTCCCAAGATGCTACTGGGTCCTTTTCTCCCCCTATTCTGTTCACTTGGTGATGTCATCAGTTCCCACAGTTTCAATTATCCTCTCTATGCAGATGACTCTCAGATCTATCTATCCAGGCCTAACCTTCTCTTCTCACCTCCAGTCTCATTCACCAATTGCTACTAGATGTCTCAGACATACCTAGCTCAACATGTCCAAACATAACTCATTATCTTTGGATCCCAAACCTCCCCTTTTCCAAGCTTCCTTGTTACGCTATGGGCACTGCCACCCTTCTAGTCATCAGGGATCACAACCTAAGTGTCAGCTGTCATATTCATTTGCATTCACCCCACCTATAAGGCAGAGGGGAAGGGAATAAGCATTTATATAGCACCTACTTCATGTCAAGCACTCTGCTAAGCACTTTAAAATATCTCATTTGGTTCTCACAACAATTCTTCAAGGTTTGACCGCAATTCTAGATTGCTATCAGTTGCCAGGTCTTACTCACAATATCTCTCCTATAGCTGCAGCTCACATGGAGTCCTTCATCACTTCATGCCTGCATTATTGCAATAACCTGCCCATTGGTCTAGGGGGCCCAATGCATAGAGCTCTGGGTCTGGAATCAGGAAGACCTGAATTTAAATCTGGCCTCAGACACTTTCTAGCTATGGGACTGTGAGCAAATCATTTAACCTGTTTGCTTCAGTTTTCTCAACTGCAAAATGGGGATAATAAAAGTACCTAATAACAAGATTACTGTGAGGATCAAATGAGATATCTGTAAAGCACTTAGACCAGTGCCTGGCACATAGCAACTACTATATAAAGATATTCCATTCCCCTTCTTTGTCTCATTCTAACTCATCCTCCATTCAGCTGCTAAAGTGATCTTCTTATAACATTGATCAACTCTTGGACCCAACTTACTCATTGTACTCCTTATTGCCTCCAGGATCAAATATAAAATCGTCTATTTGACATTTAAAGCCCTTCACGACTTGGTCTCTTCCTACCATTCCAGTCTTTTTAGACCTTACTCTACTCTATGTTCTTATGGTCTGGCAAAGCCTCCCTGCTGTTCTTCTCACACATTTCATCTACCAACTCTGTACTTTTTCAAGGGCCTCCCCCATAACCAGAATGCTCTCCCTCCTCTCCTTCACTTCCTGGTCTCCCTGAGCTCCTTTAAGACCCTTCAAATGTTACTTTCTACAAGAGACCTTTTCTGGCTGCCTTCCTCCTCTCATTGCTAGTGCCTTCTCTCTAAGATTATCTCTCATTTATGAAATATATGTCTATATATGTGCATATATACACAAACATATATATAATATATTTGTATACATATATATAATATATTTGTATACATACATATATATATACATATAAAAATCTTATATGTACATTATTATTCACCTGTTGCCTCCAGCACTAGAATGTGAGCTCCATGAGGGCAAGGATCATGTTTTTGTCTTTATTTGTATCCCCAGTGCCTAGCACAGTGCCTGGAATATAGTTCTTAATAAATGTACACTGTTGAATCCATAATTCCATAATCCACTGATTCCATAATTCTACCTATTCAATACTATTTTCTACTACTCATCCATATTCTCCTTATTCTCCTCTCCTTTTCCCTTTCCTCCCCTCCCCTCTGAAACCCCTTCCATCCCTCAGGACCTACATAAAAGTCCTACGTTCTCCTGAAGTCATCTCAAACTGTCTGCTCACACTGATCCCTCTCTTCTCTGAATTCCTATTGCATTTGTAATGCTCACTTCAGCACTTAATTGTTATCTTGTGGGTGGGGGGCGAGAGAGAGAGAGAGAGAGAGAGAGAGAGAGAGAGAGAGAGAGAGAGTGGAGACAGAGAGAGGGAGAGAAAAGGAGAGAAAGAGGGGGGCAGGAGAGAGAGAGAGAATTTTTTCTTTCCTCAGCTGGTTACCAAACTCCTAGGGTATAGAGATTGTGTCTTATAATTTGTATCCCCTACACAATAGGCATTAGCCATACAGTGGGTTGAGTAACTGCATAATCCCCAGCCTGATATGATTATGTGTTTGGATTGGCTCTAGGAAAACATCTTTAGAAAGGACAACTTACTCCCCAGAATCTCCAAATCTGATGTATGCCAAAGCAAAAATAAAGTGATTTGGGGATCATTTGATTTTTTAAAATATTTCATAACTACTCCAGCTTCTCTGGAGAGCTGATTGCATGAATTTATAGTAGTGTTCATGCATTTGTGTTCTCTCCCGTTTTTAGGCTATAAATTCCCTAAGATGAGCAGAATGGAACTGGATTTGGAACCAGAGGGCCTGAGTTTAAATGCCCCTTTTGTCACTTACTACCTAACTAACCTTGGGCAAGTCCCCTTCTCTGTAAAATGAGGGTGTTGGATTGATGGCTTCTGATCTCTAAATTTATGATCATGTGCATTTTTATATCATAAAACCCTTTCTAAATCACATATCTCAGTCTCTGCCAATACCCCACTGCCATGCCCTATTTTATCTGATCTCAGGAGCTCTCTTCTGATCTCTCAGGCTCTCTTCAGTCTATACTTAGATGAGACATGGCCTGGTAACAATGAGTGCCTTATATTTTGAGGTGCCACCTAAGTGGTATGGTGGATAGAGTGCTTGATTTGGGGGCAAGAAGAATTGCGTTCAACACTTATCAACAATGAAACCCTAGGTAAGTCACTGTGCCTGTATTTCCTCACTTCCCTCACCTATAAAATGAGGGAAATAGACCCAATTGCCTCCAAGGACCCTTCAAGTTCACACTCCATGTCCTACGAAGTTGAAAGAACTTCAAAGAAGATTGAGTCCTGTTTTTATCTTAATTAAAATTCCCTCTACAAATTCCTGACAAGTAAATGGTCATTGAGCTTCTCTTTGAAGACATGAATACCAGGATATGGAGGGGCCATGGAAGTGTACAACGGGACTAAAATCTTCCTTCTTCTGGATGCTGGGCCTCTATATATACAATCTAAAATGGAATTAGCTGATAATTCCTTATTCTGCTTGTTTACTTTCTCTCCATTAGCTCTCTTCTTATGCTGCGTTCCTTTTTGTGAGGCTCCTCCTCCCAGACATAGCAGTTCTTTAGAATAATCAGCTGGTTAGGGCAGACTCCCATACTTCACAAGGTAGAACTCAAAGTCTGGGACTATGACTAGGGCCCTGCCCTGAATCACATGTCCCTTGAGATCTTCCCCATGGCAATATAAGCAGCACATAAGGCGAATTGCTACCAACTCCTTGTACCACACTCTGGGATACTGAACCTTATTCAACGAGATTAACAAGAAAGCTTCCTAACAATCATTGTTGTTGGGTCATTTCAGCCATGCTTAACTTTTCGTGACTCCATTTGGGATTTTGTTGGCAAAGATACTGGAATGATTTGTCATTTCCTCCTCCAGCTCATTTTAAAAACAAGGAAACTGAGGCAAACAGGGTTAAGTGACTTGCCCAGGGTTACCCAGCTAGTAAATGTCTGAGACCAGATTTGAACTCATGAAGATGAGTCTTCCTGACTCCAGAGCCTGCACTCACCTACCTGCCCTTCTAATAATTAGAATTGTCCAAAAATGAAGTAGATTACCTCTGGAGATAGTGAAATTTCCATTATTTTATTTCAAGAAAAGGCTAAATGACCATTTGGTGAAACTGTAGAGGGTATTACTGTTCAGGTACCAGTCTGAGGCTCATTCTTAGAGATTCTATTATCAACTATTAAAACTGCAAAGCCCATGTGAAATGGGACACAGATAATGATCCAGCAAAGGAGACTGAGAAGGAGTACCTAGGTGGGTAGGAAAGCCAGGAAAGAGCAATATGATATTATCTATGTATCTAAACTTGGCACCTAGATCATAGTAGGTAATCAGTATTTTTTTTTATTTGAATACAAGGTAGCATATATTCTATACCAAATAGTATAGAAAATAATTATCCTAGGAACTCAGAGGAAGAAAAGACAAGCATTTATGTATAGGTAAGACTCAAAGTCTAAAAGAAATTTTGTAGACCTGTATGCATAATTCCTGTACAGCCAAAACAAGATTTAAAAACTACTCCTCCCTACACTTGAAAATTGTAGAAGCAATATGGTGTAACGGATAGAGTGCTGGATGGTAGAGTCACTAGGAGCAGAATTCATCCTCTGCCTCAGATATTTAACGTCTCCAAGAGTCCAAAAAAGCCACTCAGCCTCTTTCATTCTCACTTCCTCACTCTAGAAAAGGGAGATAATAATGCTGGCAGTGTTACCCCACAGGAGTATTGTGAGGATTTTGTTGTTTTAACAAATGTAAAAATTTTCGTAAGATGTCAGTTATTAGTGGTAGTGTATTTATCAATATATAACTTCTTATATCACAAAATAAATAGCTATATGCAATGGAAATGGAGTTTTCTGGCATTAAATATATCTGTGCTTTTAGAGTAATAAGAAAAGCTGGTTTTTTGTTGAGCTCATCCTGCCCATTGCATCCTATGCAGTTGCCTACCTTGTCTACCCTGTTAAGGTTGCCCTGGTGCCTGTTGTAGGCTGCTTATTGGAGTGTTACTGGAGGTGGGTAGGGTAGTGGGTAGGGTAAGGTTGATTAGGCTACCCCTAATCAAATTATTTCCCCTAGCTCATATGATGTAATCACCAAAGATTAGAGGAAGGTAGCAGACCTAGGAAATATTAAGGTCTTGTAAGAAGTTTAAAGAAGGGGTTACATATACTTCGTTAACCCTATAGGAGGTATAAAGGTCTCCATCAAAATTGATGGAAGTAGAAGGCAGCTAGCATTGGCTAGTTAATGATTGGCCAAATCCCTGGTAGCCTTTTAAAAATAAAGATCTACTCTCTAAGCAACAGCAGTCGAGGAAGCAGGAGCTACAAGAAGCTCCACCCCTGGCGACAGTGGAAAAAAAAGATAGCCAAGGGGAAAGAACCAAACCTTGGAGAAGTGGAAAGAAAAGATATTTCTCCCCCACACCACCACTACCTAATTGGTCATAATGGCAAGTTGGAGACACCACACCCACTAAGGAATAGGCCCCCGGAGTCAAGGTATTTGAGTAGTGTTTGCTTTACAAGTTGAGAAGAAAGCCAACCTTGGCCAATGTATTTGAGTTACAGAGACTAACAGGCCCAGGGAACCCAACTGAGGGATCTCCCAGGGGGAGCAACATAAGAACACCATGACAAGGGATAGGACACTGGGACCCTCCCATGCCAGAGGCCTAGTCCAAACTTGTTCCCTATGTGTATGTCTCCTCTAAGTGTGTGCCCATCCTTCCTACTGACACTGGGTGCAGTTGTAGGAAAGGGAGTCCCAGGTTTAAGGGGAGAATGTTGCTTTACCATTCTAAAGACAGCAAATGCCTTTGCTTTGAGCTAATTGTGTTTACTAGCTAACTTCTAAAGGTAAACCACTGGTGTGTCTGGAGAGTTATCATTTTCGTAGTGTAGACCTACAGAGTACATGGAGCCTGGGAGTAATGAACCCCTGGAGATCCAATTTGTGGGCATGAGTTGAGGGAGGTAGTCTTAGATGAGATTCTACGCTCATAAAAGAAATACTGAAGCAATACTTATGAATACTTCTGACTGTCTGTCACAAGGTAATAGAGAAGGATTGGAAAAGAGCCCCAGGAAAGTGTTGGCTGAACTTTTTCTGAAGCCCCCATTGTTTTGCCTTCCTTGAAAGGGGCAGCCCCTTACCTGGTATACCACAAGATTAATTATTAGACTTCTTAGACAGCAGAAACTGATCATTCTGTAACCAAATTTTACCTAGAAATAAAAAGAAAGTAGAACCAGAAAAACAATGCAACATTAGTCTGTAATTCCTAGACCAGAACTTAGCAGAATACAACTCACAGTGGGTTCCCAGAGGTGTTCCCCTCCCTCCTAATCCCATAGTAAATTAGACTGTTTTTTTGAGGAAGAGAACTAAATGTTCCATGAAGATCTTCTGTGCAGCTATATGAGTCGTTCATGTAAAGTCTGCAAAACTAGACAGACTGAAATAGAGATAGGAAGATAGAAAAGGAAGAGTTCTGTATGCATTCTAACTACAAGATGGTAAGAGGTCACAAATATCTTGTGTATCTTGAATTTGAAAAGATAAATAGATGATAAAGATGTGATGAAGACAGACAGATACACAGATAGATGATAAAAGATACACAGATACATGGACAGATACATAGATGGTACATAGATACATAGACACACATAGACGGTACAGAGATACAGAGATGATACAGAGATACAGAGATGATAGATGGATGGATGATACATCAGTAGATAAATGACAGGTGATAGATAAATGATACATAAATGACAGATAATATGTAGATAGGTAGATGATTCATAGATAGAGAGATATGTGCATACTGAAGAGAGGAGAAGCAGCCCTTTCCCTCTCTTCTCTCGAATTTTCACTTATTTCTGCTTCTTTTTTTGGAAAGAGCAGCTTTATTTATTTTTACTTTCTTTACTCTGACTAGAGAAGGGCTCAGAAGGTACTTGCTCTTTATTGAGAGTTCTTTCCTTGAGGGCTGAGAGGCTTAGAAACTCTTTTTTTTTTCTTCTGCCTAACAAGAGTTCCAAAATGTACCACAGTAAGAATGGTCCAAAAGGACCCTGGGAAAAGTTTCTATTGCTCTGTCCTATTTTTCCAGCAGTACTAACATGTGTGTGACTGCAAGTCACAGCCTCCTCTGCTGTCCCATAATTCTACATTTATGTTCACATACATATCTTTTCCTGCTGATGAATCCTACCCCTCTCTGCATTCACCTGTTTTCCTTCCATGCATGTTTCTTCTGATTGTGGTGTGTGTGACTTACTATTGGAAGTTAAAGCTAATTTCTTAATGCAAATTATCTGATTTGAGCTAAGCTCTCACTTAGAAGAATAATGTGAGCTAAAAATTTCCTCATATTCTCTCTCTCTGCCTCTCTTTTTCTGTCTCTTTGTCTCTGTCTGTTCTTCTGTCTGTCTCTCTTTCTCTCTGTATATGTATGTATGTATGTATGCACACTTTAAAAAAAAAATACTGTATGCTTAATAAATCTACATTCCTGTTTTAAAGAAAGACCTGTGAATTGTTGGGTACAATATGTCAAGATGCATTATCACCAAAGTGAAAAGATCTCAATTTCATGAGATTCATGGAATATGTGTAGGAAAAGCATGTATTATCAGGTGTAGTGGTGCACGCCTGTAATTTGGCAGTGAATCATTTAAGCTCTGAAGTTCTGAGCTGCAATAGGCTAATGTCAGTGGGATGTCTGCACCATCTGGCACCAATATGATAACAGCTAGCTTATGTAGCACTTTAAGGTTTCCAAAGTGCTTTGTAAATGTTATCTCATTTTCTCCTTACAACAATACTGGGAAGTAATTATTATTACCATCCCCATTTTACAGATGAGAAAACTGAGGCAAGATAGAGGTTAGGTAATTTGTGCAGAGTCAGACAGCTAGCAAATATCTGAGACAGGATTTGAACTCAAGTTTTCCTGACTTCAGGTGTAGCACTCTATCCACTGTACCACCTAGATGCCTAGATATTGAGAGTAGAAATAGTAGAAGGCTGCCTAAGGGGGAGTGAACCAGCCCAGGTTAGAAATATAGCAGATCAAAGCTTCCCTGCTGATAAAAGAAAGGAAAGGAAAAGAGAGGGGAGAGGAAGGGAAAGGAATGAAGGGTAGAAAAATATGCCCTGGGATGACTGGGGTGGATGGGGAGGGGGCTACAGGGAGATAAAGGAGGAAATTTAGATGATATAAAACCTAAAGCAATTGGGGCCGCTAAGTGGCAAGTAGATAGAGCACTGGCCCTAGAGTCAAGAGGATCTGAGCTCAAATCTGGCATCAGATATTTACTAGCTGGGTGACCCTGGCAAGTCACTTAAACCTGATTACCTCCAAAAAAAATATTTTTAATATCAGTAAAAATGTATTTTAAAAAGGAAAAGCTTTTGCCTATTCATGAAGAGAGTTTCACTTCCAGTGAGTTTCATCTCTAGTTGAGATAGATCACTGTGTGCCAGTGGTGAAGGCTTTATGGGAAACATGGAACTTCAGCTGATTCCTAAAAAATGGGGAGGATTTGAACTTGGCCTTGAAAGTAGGGAGTTCCATGGAAATCCCCTCATTTATGCTTATGTATGGCAGCTACGATATAGCTTCAAACATGAAGCCATTCAGTGTATGGAGGAAGCAACCAAAAAAGAGTAATTGCCTCAAAGCTAATTGACAGAATTACCATCATATCAAGCCAGCACAGGGCTGAAGGCCTCTATCCCCAGATGTCCTAAAAGAGGGCAAAAAGTATAAGTTACTGAAAAGACCACAGATAAATGTCCAATTATCCACCAAAGTAGCCTGTAATGTATTTGATGGAACATAATTGGTCTACAATACTTAGCTGTGTGAAGCTGGGCAAGTCATTTAACTCTGTCTGCCTCAGTTTTCCCATCTGTAAAATGAGCTAGAGAAGGAAACAGCAAACCACTCCATTATTTCTGGCAAAAGAAAAAAACTCCAAATGTGGTTACAAAGAGTCTGATACGACTAAAAAAAATGACTGAAATTGTTCTACATTCAAGTCAAAATGGTCTACTGGCTGTTTCCCCATATATGACATTCTATCTCCCACCTCTGTGACTTCATACAGGCTGGCTAGTATACTTGGAAAATGTTCTCTCTTCATGTCCATCTTTTTAGAAGGCTTGGCCTATCCTGATTTCCTCAGCCATTGGTGTTGTTCCCTGCCCAATTACTTTGTATTTACATTGTATATATTTTATTATTTCTTTATTTGTACACATGGCGTACTTCCTCCTCCCCCATGGAGACACTCTGTTTTTCTATATCTCCTTATACCTTCCTACACCCCTCAATTTTTTACAATCCAGGCCCAGAGAAAGTCACAGATTCACAAAAGTAGGAACACAACATTTTGCATTTATCTTTATTATTTGGGGCCAACATTGTGGCCTTCCAAGATCTTTTACATCCTGACTCCATTTTCCATGCTATAAAGCTGAAAGTGGCTCTAGAGGTCAAATCATCCAAGCTCCTTATTTTACAGATGAGAACACTGAGGCCCCCAAAAGTTAAATAGTTTGCCCAAGATCATACACATACTTCATCTTGTCTTGTTTTTGGTTAAATGTGATATCTATATATTTTCTTACTTATTAGCATATTAAAGAGCACATCATGTTGAAAAACCACATGAAAATCTACCCTGTTTTTGAAAGCTTTTGTATCACAAGTCCTAATGGTTCATAGGAAACCTCACTGTTACCAGTGCCTGCTCTGCATTTCAGCACCACAATTCCTTTTGACCTTGAAGGAAAGATTTGATCAATTCCCCACAGCAAGACCAAACGACTTATTTTGCAAAATAATTACTGTGGAAGTCTGATGGTAGGGTTCGTTTTACTACTGTGGAACATCCCTTCTCTACAAGTCAAACCTGTCAGGTCAGAATGTCCCCCAGGATACCAGGCTAAATTTAATTTTACACATCAGACCATACCAACAAGAGAGAAGGAAAGTGTATCAGTTGCAGCAATATAGAAAGTTACATCATCTCAGTTACTAAGAAGTAATAACTGGCATTCATATAATGCTTTTAAGGTTAGCAAAATACTTCACATATATTTATTTTTCCATTCAATCATCACAATAACCTTATGAGGTAGGTACTACTATTATCTCCATTTTACAAATGAGAATACTGAGGCTTAGGGAGGTTTAGTGACTTACTCAGGGTCATACAAATCATACATGCCTGAAGCCAGATTTGAAATCTGGTTCTCCTGACTGGAAGCCCAGCATTCCATCCACTTTGCCACAGTGCCTCTAAATAGAGGAAGAAAATGGAGGGGAATGCCACTAATGGAGAGAACACCATAAGGCCTTTTTAAAAGGTCTTATTCCCAAGGTGGAATTCTGCTGCCTGTATTGCCTATTTGGGGAAAACCCCGCCTCCCTCTCTACCTACCAATCACCCCAGGCACAGAGAATCTGCAATGAGAACCACTGTAAGATTCTGCCATACAGAAACTGCAAACCTGCAGTCACTGGTATTTTGTCCAAGACAGACTGTTCAAGCAAACAGGGGTATGTACAAAAGGGGAGTGGGGGGTGGGAGGTGGGGAGGACAATAGCAAAAAGTCTTGGATTTGGATGAGAGAGTATTATAACTAGCTTGGATTGGGGTGGGAGGGGTGAGAAAATGGTCTTGTGAACAACTACGCACTCTCTCTATGTCTCTGTTTCTCTGTCTCTGCCTCTCTGTCTGTATCTCTCTCTTTTTCTGTTTCTCTGTCTCTGTCTCTCTATCTTTATCTGTCTCTCTTTGTCTCTGTTTCTGTCTATCTCTATCTCTCTTTGTCTTTTTTTGTCTCTGTCTCTCTTTTTCTCTGTCTCTGTCTCTTCCCCCATCCCACCCCCTGTGTGTTTCCTTCTCTCCTTCTTGATATCCCCACTTGCTGGTCCAAAGGATCATAGGACCATAGTTAGAGCGAGAAGTAATATTATATATTATCTAATCCAACTTCTTTGTTTTACAGATGAGGAAACTGAGACCTCTAACAGCCAGAGTTGTAAAATTAATGAGACAGACTGTTCAGGGATGTCACCTGGACCCTCATTGTCTTGGGGATATTTTGGTCGCACAGATCTGTCCTCCCAGAAGATAGTTTAGAATGCCTCAAGTTACTGGGGTTGGGGAGGAGAAGGATGTGGGGAGAAGGGAACAAGTCAGGAGAAATATGTGAGAGAATCCTTAGTGTGGTTCAATTGAGAAAGTTTGGAGATCAGAAGAATTTGTAATGGAAAACAGTAGCTTGGGAGAGAATGAACTGGCGGCTCTGGGGAAGTTGTATTGGGGTGTAACTTCAGTGTTGAGACATACTGTGATTTCTATAGAGCGTTCAGCAGATAGGGTGAGAAATGAGTCATGATGAGTTAACTGTACCTCACTGAAAAAATCAACAATGGAATTGATTATTTCTTCTTGAGGCTATACAGGCCTTTTTCTTCTTTCCTTTGCTCTTCACCTTCTTATTACTAAACTTCTCATGAAAGAAGAATGATCAGTTAAATTTAAAATCTAGAATGTGAACATTTCCTGATGGCAAGGGTTTATTGTTCAGTCTTTTTGCTTCATGAGCCCATTTGGGATTTTCTCAGCAGAGATACTGGAGTGGTTTGCATTTCCTTTTCCAGATCATTTTACAGATGAGGAAACTGAGGCAAACGGGGTTAAGTGACTTGCCCAGGATTACACAGCTAATAAGTATCTAAGGCCAGATTTTGAACTCAGGAAGATGAGTCATCCTGACTCTAGGCCCAGCACTTTATCCATTACACCACCTAGCTGCCCTAAAAAAATGATTATCAAGAGAGTTTATATTATAACTCTTTCACTAGAGGTTTTTTAGAAAAGGTTTGAAACAATATAGAAATTGTCTCAAGTAGCAGCAACGCCTGCTAAAAGTCTCTTGAATGAAGATAAAATAGTTTTATTTCTTCCAAGGTAGTTATTTGCTGTTCAGGTCACCTTCTATAGAATTATCCTTTATGACTCTCAAGCCACTGTTAAATTTTCCCTTAGATTTCTCCAAGTCAAGGAAGAGCAATTTCTCAGGCCCTGCCTCTGAGGAGCTATTTTTATTGAGGGAGTTATGTGGTATGGTTGTAGAGGACTTGGGAGCAGGAATACTGAATTCTGCCTCACTTACTGGTCAAGTCACTTAATCTCTCTCAGTCTTAGTTTCCTCATTCATAAAATGAGGAAGGGAAGGGAATAGCATTTATATAGAACTTATTATGTGCCAGGTATTGTACCAAGCACTTTTTTTTTTAGAGGCAATCAGGGTTAAGTGACTTGCCCAGGTTCACACAGCTAGTTAAACATCTGAGGTCACATTTGAACTCAAGCTTTCCTGTGCTGTGCCCACAGAGCCATCTAGCTGCCCTGCTAAGCACTTTTTTTTTTACAAGTATTATCTCATTTGATCCTCAAAACAACCCAGTGCTATTATTTATCCTCATTTTACAGTTGAGAAAATTGAGGTAAAAAAGGTTAAGTGACTTGCCCAGAGCCACACAGCTAGTAAATGCCTGATGCTGAATTTGAACACAAGTCTTCCTGACTCCAGGCCCAACTTTCTCTCCACCTAGCTGCCTCCTATGGATATTAATAATAACATTTACCTCACTAGGTTGTTATAAGGAACATATGGGATAGATAGAGACATATCGATATGAATATATAATATATTAATATATGGGATATATGAATATATAAAAATGAACTATATTAATATGTGGGCTATATTAATATTAATATGAAATGTATTAACAAATAGGATATATTTATATAGAGACATGTCTAATACTTTTGCAAACCTGAAAGTGCCATATTAATGCTAATTTAATATTTTCCTGCCTCTTATTGATTTCGTGGCTGTTCTATCTTTCATTTTCTCACATTGCTCTCCAGTTGCACAAAACTACGTCTCCCCAAAAAAGTTCTCCTGTCCTTTAATCATTCTTCTTCCTGTTCTTGGCCCCTTAAAGTGTGTGTTCCTAGAGTTCTGTCTTAACCATCTTCTCTTCTCTCTCCATCTTCTTTCCCTATGAACTTCATGGGATTTAGACCAGGGAGGAACTTTTAAAATCATCTAATCCAACCACTACATCCTATAGATGAAGAAACTGAGACCCAGATTTGTCCAAGATCAAAAAGGCAGCAAATAGCAGGACCAGGATTCAGATCCATGGTCTCTAAGTCCAAATACAGTCATCTTCCCACTAAATCATGCTGCCTCTCAACTATCACCTCTATGTGGATCACAGTATTATAACTGACAGGTGAACTTTAGAAATTACCTAATCTAGTCCTCTCATTTTAAAGATGAGGAAACCGGAGCCCAAAGGTGTGGGGTGACTTGCCAAAGACCAAAAAGTAAGAGGCAAGACTGGAATTGAAGCCCAGCACTTATCCCAATGTGCCATATTACTCTGAAATTTATATCTCTAGTCTTCACCTCTTTCCCAAGTTCCAAACCTGAATTTTCAACTTCTTGCATGGCATTTGGGTGCCTCACAAGAACATCAAATTAAACATAATCAAACCAGAGCTAATCATGTTTTCTGCAAAACCAACTCTTCCTTCTGACTTCTCCATGGGCAAAGGTGTCAATCACATTGCAGCAGTTGGGTGTGTGAAGTCCTCTATCAGACCCAAGGACAACATGGCTGTCAATCAACCCACATTGCAGTGTCACGACCTGGGGCCTCATTTAGTCTAAGAGTATGATTTATTTACTCACTAGCATGGCCTCCCACTTACAATTCACTTCCCCTCCATAGCATGCTGGGGCAATCACATCTCTATACAAAGGATCATGTTAGTAAGCACTTGAATTATATTAAAAGGCAATAAAATGCAATCAATGGACATGTATCTCAGAAATCACAATCATCTCAATTCTTCCATCTCCCATAGTTGGGTGAAATAAAAATTAAGTGCTCAATGCAAAAGTTCAGACTGTCACTAGACACAGAGAAAGGTGGTAGTCACCCACATCAGTCCACCATGGGGGAAGACAGATAGTCCCCTTGACTCTAAAGGCTAGAGAAAGTTCAATCACTGTTCACCCATTTACTTCGATGACAGGAACTCTGGTGTTCCATGGTACACACTAAAGTCTTACTTACCTCTAAGCACTTCACTGAACAAACTCCCTGCTCTTCTCTACTCCAGGGAACAGACCACATCCGTGATAGTGACTTTCCCCTTACTCTCTCTTAGCCTGTAATGGCAGTCACCCATTGTCCTAGATGAGGCCTTAGGAAATCACTCTTAGGTATCATCTACTCCCTGACCCCAGAGTCTTCTGAAAGTTGTAACATACCAGAGAAAAGGGGATCAGATCCCAAATGTAGGTCCTTTATACCTACCTCTGTCAGTGGCAGATAGACTTATAGAATCTCAAAGTTAGAAGAGATTTATTTCACAGTTTACCTGGTCCAACCCAAATCTGGTCAAAAGTCCCTTTTACAATAACACTGAGAAGTGGTCACCTAGCATTCACTAGAAAATCTCTAGTAATGGAGAACTCAACACCTTATGTGTTCATTCCATTTAGTGGCAGGTCTAATTGTTGGCAAACTTCTTACATAGAGTTTAAATCTACCTCTCTGCAACTTTCAACCATTATTCCAAGTCCTGACATATGGGCCCAAGGAAAGCAAGTGCAAAAATCATCCCATATAATAATGCCATAATAATAAAGGGCAACTAGGTGGTGCAGTGGATAGAGTGCCAGGCCTGGAGTCAGTAAGACTCTTTTTCATGAGTTCAAATCTGGCCTTAGGGATTTACTAGCTGTGTGACCCTAGGCAAGTCAGTTAACCCTGTTTACATCAGCTTCCCCATCTGTAAAATAAGCTGGAGAAGGAAATGGCAAATTACTTCGGTATCTTTGCCAAGAAAACCCCAAATGGGGTCATAAAAAGTTGGAGATGACTGAACAACAACAATGATAATGCTTCAGTTTTTTGAATACACCTATTTATTTCCCCCTAAGTCTTATCTTCTCCAGGCTAAATATTTCCAGTTCTTATAAAACATCCTCTATGAATAAAAAAAAAACCCTCTATGATACAGGATCCAGAAACTTCACAATTCAGGTCATCTTTTCATTTAATGTGCTCTAGATTAAACAAAGTCCTTCCTTCTGGTGCCCAGAACTAAACATAATATTCTAGATGTGATCAGACCAGGACAGAGGTCAGCAGAACTAGAACTACTGCCTCTTTTGTTCTGCTCATATTGCTTTTATTATGCGGTCAAATTTTGCTCTGGTTTTTCTGGCCTCCAAATTTTGACAATTTTTTTTCCTATTTTCTCTCCATTTGTTGCGCTGTCAGTTTTATCTTTGAGTACTCTTAGAATGATCTGAGTGTCATTCCAAGCCTTTAGTAGACAATGCTTTTCTCTGTCTTATGAGGCAACTCACTACTCAAAATCTTCTGAGGTCCTCTTCTGTAATGTTTCACAATGTGTTGGAATTCTAAAGCAGTACTGCCTTTAGCTGGCATCTCCTTCCACTTAGCAAAGAGATCAAGCATTTGCTGGAATATTTATTTATTAGAGGGGAGGGGTCCCTCAATGTGGTGCTTGTCTTACATTAGTTAAACATTTATAGGAAATAATGATAATTAAGGTCAATGCGTATGTCATTTCCCATTCTTCAGCAGCAATAGTTTACTGGAAAACATCCTATTGAAACTTAGGATCATTAACCCAGAGCTAGAGATATCCTAACTAGCTCAAACTCTTCCTTTTAGTAATGAAGAAACTGAGACTTCCCTATGCCCACTTTCATATTGAAATCACCAAGTATCAAAAAATATGCTGAAATGGTGTGGAGGATTTTGTCAGGTTCTCCATAGTATTTCTCTACATCTTCAACCCTTGACAACACACAGGCAGTAATTATCCTCAGTGTAAGAAATTAATAAACGCTTGTTGACTTATTAAATTATGGTGACCTTTTTGCCTACCCTCCTCAAATATGACAAGTTGTCATTAATCATTACAATCATTCTTTGGGTTCAGCCATTTAACATTCCAAGTCCACCTGACCATATTATCCATCCCACTTCTCTCCATATTGTCTGTGAAGATATCATGAGATACTTTGTCAAGTATCTTGCTGACATCTGGAAACACAATGTTTATGGCATGCCTTCCAGTCTAATAACTGTTGAAATAGTAAATTAGATTGATATTATCTTTTTAATGGACCCACATTGTTTTCATAGTGATCACTGTTCACCTAAGTGCTCACAAACCCTTTAATTATGTCTTCCACTACTTCATTAGCAATCGAATTCTACATAGAACCAAGCTAAAACACATAGACTGGAGAATCTATCTTATGAAAGACATTTTTTGAAAAAAGAGGTATTTGCTCATCTCTGGTCCAACAGCAACTCAACTCTTCTCAACAGTCTCTATAAAAGATTCCTAACAGTGGCTCAGCTGTTCCATTTATAAGTTAGTTCAGTACTCAGGGTGTAGTTTGTTCTGTTCTGGTGACTGTCTTGAAGACAGCTAGGTGGCTTTCTGTTACCTCACTCATCTTGGATTTTAGTTTTTGTTATTTAATTTCATTTTATATTTCCCAATCTAAAGAGTGTCATTGGTAGAGAAATAAGAAGCAAAACACAAATAAAGTAGTTCTCTTTTTGTTCTCTCATCTATTATCATCCTATCCACTCAAGATAGCAATCTTATTCTTCCTTGATTTATCTCTTATTTACAGCATGTCTAAAACTCAGTGGGTCTCTCCAGCTCTTACAGTAGCATCACCTGGCTCTATTCTTATAATTTTATATGTATATATACAAATATACATATATATGTTTATATACATATATAAATATCTTCATAAACATACACGTGTATATATGTGTATATACACATGGATATATGTGTGCATATATCCATGTGTATATGTGTATGTATATGTGTGTGTGTGTGTGTGTGTGTGTGTATAATCTTCAAGGATCAACCTATATGGGCTCTATGAATACTTATAGTCACATTTCAGTGAAGTTGAGCCATTATTCCTCCCCAACCACACCTCTAAAATGTAAAACCTGAAGGTTTTCTGACACAGAGAATCCTCTGAGGATAGTCATGCAGGGAGGAGGTATCTGAGGGAAAGCCTGAAATTGTATGCATAGTGTGTCAGTGGTAGATAGAGCTAGGACTAGGCCAATGGACCCGAATATCCAAATTCCCTAGGCTTTATCCAGAAAAATACCTGACAGATATGGGATCTAGTTCTCACTTTGGCACTAACTAGATATGTCATGGTAAATAATCTGGTATAAAAAGGAGAGCCTATGATTTTAAAAATAAAATGTGTTTCATCCTTTCCTTTAAATTACCCATCACAAAGGAGGTATGGACTACATTTTCCTTCTTCTGAGCAATACATAAAATCAAATCAGTGAGAGGATAGGGCATCCATTCTCTCAACCATATATCATCAGGCTGCTCATCAAGCCTTGAGAATCTGACCTAGCAATTATATGAGGGATATGGGGGACAGAAAGCACTGCCTATAACAAGGCTTTGTTCAATATGATTAAGCAAAAGAACAAGGCTTGAAGGAATGTTGGGGGGATGGAGCAAGAGAGGTACAATATAATATATATTGTATTTGTTTTATGTAGATGCATATATATTTTATATAGAAATATAAATACGTGTATGTTTCTTCCATAGTACCTAGCACAATGTCTTTTATGCAACAGATCAATTCAGTCTCTCTTTGTTTTTCCTCTGTCTCTGTCTCTGGTGTGTTGTCTTTCAATGTCTCCATTTCTCTCTCTCTCTCTCTCTCTCTCTCTCTCTCTCTCTCTCTCTCTCTCTCTCTCTCTCTCTCTCCCCTTGTCTACCATTCTAGTATAACCAGAAGGCAATTTTGTACATAGAAAAATGGTATACTGACTGTCTTTAGACCATAAGAAGTATATCATAGGATATTCCCCAGCAAACCCCTTCACATTTCCCAAGAGAGAAAACCTAGTGTCTCAGCAGAAATGCTACAGCTGATCCCAGCTATAAAAGACAGATGCTGCCCAAGAATATGGAATTACATTAAGCACAGCCTTCTCTCCCTCAGGGATTCAAATGTTACCTAAAGAACCAGATTGTTTTTGTTATGGTAACACCTACCTTAAATGAAACAGCAGCTCTCACTCCCTCCTCTCCTGTGGGATGAAACAGGAAGAGCTCAAGTCTCTCTGCAGAGATGTCTCAATGCCTCTTGTTGGAAGTCCCCAGAATTTCCTTTGGGGCATTGGCTGGGTCCATGCTCAGGGACCCAGATGGCTTGAGCATCACAGTCTTCCCAATGGAGTTGTCCAACTACCACAGCAACAGCTGTAGCAACAAAGGCCCAGGAAGCAGACAAAAGTTTCAGAAGAATAAATACATGAAATAAACCTCACAGAAACTAGGCTTGAGTCACAGCCTCCAAAGGTTTTAGTCTATGAAACTTTTCTTTAGTGTCATATTTATAAAGAATTCCCTTTAGCAGCTGGGAAGTTCTCTGAAGAGAAGGAGCATTTACTTGTTTCTATCTATGAGGCCTGAGAACAGCCATCTTCTGAGTGGAAAGAGACATCATCCTGTCAGAAAGCTTCTCCTTTCCAAGTAAGGCTCCCCTCCAGGGCCTTCCTGTGTTTTCCTGGAGTCCATGTTAGCAATGGTTTCTTAAACAAGTAATAAGCATACGGGTGAGTGAAGGGTAAGCAGAAGTGACTGAGGAAGCTGGGAGGCCAGGGCAGGCAAAGTAGGATGAAAGAAGGACCAAAGGAAGTTTGATGATTCATTCGATCCACGTCAGGGATTGACCAACTCATACGCCCTGCCCTGGCCACTAGTAGCACCTAAAAGAATACATCAAAGTCTCTCTATTTGGGAAACCAGGACTGCGCTGTTTCCCTTTGCTCTCCCAGTCAGAAGATATGAAAACAGGCTGAAAGGTTGTTATGACAACAGGAATCCCTTGAAATAGCAGTTTTCCACAAACCCTTAACTTCACATGTGCACTGTCTTGAAAAGGAAATGTTTTGTAATAGATTATGAGTAGGATTATATATACATACACTCACACATTTATCCATGGTCAGGGCTATTCCTTTGTCCCCATGTCTTTAATGCTCCCCTCTCTAACTGGCCAGCAGACGTGACTGAAGGGCTTCAGAAAAACAACTCTTATCTAGATGGCATGTTCCTGAATCATAAAACTGCTTTACCCCAGCTGTAGTTCAAACTTAGGGGAGCTATAGCTGTCCTTTATCCTTGAAAGATACTGGTTAAGACCAGATAATCCCTTTTTCTCCTCCTGAGGAGGGATTTAAGAAGTTTGAGGACCCAAATATGCTTCTTTTTGACATTCTTCTTGCCTTTAGCTTTAGATCTGAATCTAGGGACTCATACAGGAAGGGGAGAAGAGGGAATTGTTCCTTGGCTAAGATTGAGAGAGAAGGCAAAGATTAAGGTGCCAATGTCTGCTAATAAAATCATATGCTTGCATAGCATCATCTCCAATCTGACCAGAAAAGTTCATTGAGATGTCTCATGAGGTAGGGAGAGGGAAGGATTATACTTCCCATTTAAGAGATGGGGAAACTGAGGTACAGAGAAGGAAAGTGATTTGCCCCAAGTCACCCAAGGAAGTTAGAACAGAACTAAGATGTGAATCTGTCAACTTCTAGTCTAGGGTGAAACTCATTAAAATTGTCCTTAAAAGGACGTCCATCATTAGACACACCTAGAGGAAAAAGAAGTCTCTGCCAAGCAATCTCAAACCTCAAAAAAAAAAATCAAAACCTGGCTAATACTCTTTCAGGATTCTGAAATTCACACAGAACAGATGTGACTAACACCTCACCATATATAAAAACAAAAAGAGAGTTCCCAGATGCATGGAGGACCATAATCTTAAAAGAGAAATGAATGACAGCTACGGAGTCACAGATTTAGAGCAGGAAGGGGCCATAGGAATCATCAAGTCCAATGCCTCATTTTATAGATGAGAAAACTGAAGCAAAGTTTTAACCAAGATCGTCTAAGTACTAAGTGGCAGGAGGTTTTGAATCCAGGATCTCGGATGCCAAATTCAGTACTCTTTCTACATGATCTAGCTCTATAAAAGACATAGCTCAGAGGAGCAAGATTCATAAACGCTCATCTAACTGAACAAAAAGATTCTAACAATAGGACGGCCCATAAAGAATAATTGCTAATTTCTTAACATAGGTATTTCCTATTGCCCGTGAAAAGAGAAAACAGTGTTGAGGCTCAGAAATCTTTTCTTGGGCCACTTTGCAATATGCTTACATCTGCCAATATAGGGGCTTAAGCCAGATGTTTGCTGTAGCATAACATCAGAGGCATCCCCAAGTTTAAATGTCCAGGTTAGAGGGAGAACATGTGAATCTATGTGGCAGCTGTGGAAGGCTTGGAAGCATTTTAGGCCAGACTAGCTAGTGAAAACCGCTACTGTGTAGCAGTGAGGGCAACAGAGAAAACTGTACTGTGCACCCAGATATTACAGCCCTTCAGAGGCAACAGAACTGAACTAAGGGTTATATGTGACTCCATTTCGGTGCTTCTCTGAACTTGGTGATTCCCTGGTCACCATTCCCTTTGCATGGGAAGGCACTTGCATATAACTAATACTCGGCTTTGAGAACCAGTCCTCCTGGAAGTGGAGAAACCTGGATCAAGGGTTGCACTAAACATAAACAAAAGACAGGTTCATGTTTGTATCAAAACACACACACACACACACACACACACACACACATCATCCTATTGTTTTTAGATTTCCCTATATATCTTCTAAATGGTCAGGTTAGATCCTGAAATCTGTCAATCCTAGCTAAACTTAGAGATGATTAGAATGTTTTAGATCCATGATGCTAAAGGCAGGGTCTTCTGAGTAGGTAGATGACAAAGGGCACCATATAAAAATAGTAGATTGAGCGAGTTGTTCCTGACTCTCCACCTTTGGATGGATATTCAGCAGATGAAAACTAAGGTTGGGAGTGCCAAAGTGGTCCCAGGAGTTCTAGTTCTTTTGAGATTACAGACAAAGCATGGAAAATCAGTCTTCAGGTAGTATCATGAGAGAAGATATTCCATATAGTTGTTAGGAAAGTAAGAATGATCAGATGACACCCCTGGAACTGTATCATGTATCTTAAATATCAAGAGACATCCTTGTGGTCACTAGAGTCAGAGGTCCAGGCAATAGGGTTTCACAGTTCAGCCATCTGGTCACTCCAGTTAGAGGGAATGATGAAGATCTTGGTTCTAGATAGGGGGTGACTATAAAACTACTCAGTTATTACTCTGCTCCCCTCAACCCCCAACTTCTCCCTCGCAATAATCAAACTTCTGTTAGCATCCTTTTTTCTGCATAAACCCTGTGTGGGGTGGAAAGGTAGCTGGGTCTCCGTTCTGGAGCAATCTCAGAGAAATCTGGTTTGCCAAGTCCCCCACCCACTCCTTTCAGATCTGGTATAGGCTGCCCACATGTGACATGTGTATATTGGCCTTGTTCCTCTTGCTCTGTTTCACGGTGGTAAAAATAGTTGAAGTTGGAGACAATGACCGGCACAGGTAGGGCAATGGTGAGGACGCCTGCAATGGCACAGAGAGATCCCACAATCTTGCCCCCTACAGTCATGGGGTACATGTCCCCATAGCCAACTGTGGTCATGGTGACCACCGCCCACCAGAAGGCATCAGGGATGCTGGAAAACAGCGAATCATCATCATCAGCCTCAGCAAAGTAGACAGCACTGGAGAAGAGGATAACTCCAATGAAGAGGAAGAAGATGAGGAGCCCAAGCTCCCTCATAGAGGCCTGCAATGTCTTGCCCAGGATTTGGAGACCTTTAGAGTGTCGGGACAGTTTGAAGATGCGGAACACGCGGACCAGGCGGATGACTCGTAGGATTGCCAGGGACATCGCCTGCTGCCCATTCTGGCTGCCGCCTCCTCCAGTGCTTCCAGGCTGCTGTTCCTGTTGTTGCACCAACTCTGTGCCCAAGGTGATAAAGTAGGGGAAGATGGCCACTAAATCTATGATGTTCATGATGTTGCGAAAGAAGGCTGGCTTGCTAGGGCAGGCAGAGAAACGAACCAGCAGCTCAAAGGTGAACCACACTATGCAGAGAGTCTCTACCAGAAAAAAGGGGTCTGTGAAGAAAGAGCCAGACACTGGAGGACCCCCAAGTGGGATCAGTTGGGATGATGGTCCAGGTCCTGATACAACTCCTCCCTGGACAATGACACTGGGATTTAACAGCTTGTATACTGAGTGGTCTCCCTCGTCTTCTTCCTGACTCCCTCTGGGGGCTGGGCCACCTGAATTTACCCTCCCACCATCACTTCTACTTCTGGGGTCTGGCCGGAACTGGGGCAGGGTTTCCAGGCAAAAGATGACTATAGAGATGAGAATGACCAGTACGGAGACAATGGCGATGCCTCTAGCTGGGCCTGAGCTCTCAGGATATTCAAAGAGGAGCCACACCTGACGTTTGAAGGGCTGAGAAGGCAAGGGCTTCTGGTGCTCACCACCCTCTGGAAGGCAGCCCTCATCCTCCCGGAAAGCCTCCAGGGCCTCCTCACCCAGCTGGTAGAAGCGGATTTCCTCCAGGAAGATATCCAGAGGCACATTGACGGGCCTCCGCAGCCGGCCCCCAGACTGGTAGTAGTACAGGATGGCGTCGAAGCTGGGCTGGTTGCGATCAAAGAAGTATTCGTTGCGCAAGGGGTCAAAGAAGCGGACGCGGCGACCGGGGTCTCCCAAAAGTGTGTCAGGAAACAGAGACAGGGTGCGCAATTGTGTCTCAAATCGCAGCCCCGAGATGTTGATCACCAGGCGCTCACTGCTGCAGCAGCCACCGCCACCTCCAGCAGCCCCGGGGAAGTCTCCCCCACCCTGTTGCTCTTCCTCGGGTCCCCGGACCTCCCCGTGAGCCGCCTGCGCCAAGGTTGTCTCCTCCCGCATACCGCCTACTACGTTGTGCGCCCTTCCACAGGGCGCCCACCGCCCGTATGTGGGTTTGGCTTACCAGATGTGGTTGAGTGGAGCTCCCTGCTTCTTCCTAGGGGTGCGGCCCCTGATCCCCTTTCTCTTTGATCTTGACCTAGCTGTCTATGCGCTTCAGTTCCTGTAAGATGGGAAGCATATGTGGGGATGCACTAGTAGAGGTACCTGGATCCACACCCCGCGATGTCTGGAATTGGATGCCCAGATCAAATACCTGGCTTCGCGTTTTAGGATTTCTTAGATCTGGGCGGTAGGACTCTTGGGTCTCTCTCTCGGGTTGATTTAACACCTCCCAGCGCCCAATGGGCGTTGCTCCAGGATCCACACTGATGCTCGGTCCAGAAGCGCAAGATGCGCCTCCCTCTCCAGCTGCTGTGGCTTCTGCCTCCGCCCGTAGCCTAGAGCACGACTCGCGTCTGGCTGAGGTCGCTGCTAACGACGTAGCCTCTCTTTGCGCTCTTCCCATGGGCTCCGAATGGACCAGTCTGTCCGAAGCGAAAAACCCTTCTCTGGAGCTTCGGATCTCCGGGACCGTACTCCCCAATGCTCTAGCTTCCTCTGCTGTCACTGCAGCTGCTGCAGCATGGCTCTGCCGTTCCTCTCTCACTACACTCCCGAAGTGACGCGTTAGGCCCCGCCTTCTGCCCCCTCCCATCCCACTCCCACAGCACACCCCTAAACCAGCCAAGGACTGCCCACTAGTTAGGGCTGAGTAGAAGGACACAAGGACATACAGACACACCTCCTTCCTGAGCCAATATTCTCACGTAACCTGACACGCCCCCTTCTCCTTACTCTTCAGATAAACACCCAATATCACACCTCTCTACCCCTCAATCTACAACCTCTTTTTTCCTTCTTTACAAAATCACCCCAGCGTGATTCGTAGAATCCGAAATGGCAGCATTGAAAAAGACGGCAGGGGCATCTGAATACCCCACTGCTGGGCAGGGAGGGCCTAAGCTACAGGCAGTTTGCTCAGAAGAATAGATGGAGATGGGACATCTTCCACCAAAGGTTTGCCTTGAATCAGTTCTGAGAAGGCTTAGAAATTGTCACCCACATATGGGTAGCTGCTCCTGTGAAGGAAAAAAAAAACAGCCAATAATGATTTCCCACTCTCTCTCCAAAGATAGAATAGATCCTGGAAAATAAACACCTGTTTCGTAATGCACTCTGATTTGGAATACTTCTGAAGTAACAACTGGACTCACCGCCTGAAGGGAGAGCCAAGCCAGGTGGGGAAGCTTGGCAAGCAGGACAAAGATGCAATTTGTTTGTAGGCAACGCTCCTTTAAGTTTCTGTAGTCATTTTTTTTTCAGTCGTGTACGACTCTTCCTAACCCCATTTGGAGTTTTCTTGGCAAAGATATTGGAGTGGTTTGCCATTTCCTTCTCCAGTTCATTTTACAGATGAGGAAACTGAGGCAAAGAGGGTTAAGTAACTTGCCCAGGTCACATGGTTAGTAAATGGATTCAGGTGCTCCTGACTCCTGGTTCAGTGTCCTATTCACTGCACCACCTAGCTGTACTGAGGTTCTTTAAAAGCAGTATAAATTTGCAATGAGTTACCTGTTGTTAACAAGGATTAGAAGGAAATGGCAAACTGCTCCATTACCTTTGCCAAGAAAACCTCAGATTGGGTCAGGAAGAGTCAGACACAACTGAACAATGACAAAGACCTGTTGTACCTTCCTCAGACTGGCAGGGAGGAGGTAGGAACTGTCTTCCAAAACTTTCTGAAAAGGATTGCATGCCTGTTGTCTTTTGTCACAAGAATGAAATGGAAGCAAGTTCTGCAATTGGAGTAAAGAGAACCTGGCCTTGAGTCCTGCCCCTGTCATTTGCTACAGTAGCTGTGTAACCTTGGCCAAGTCACTTAACTTCATTTTCCTAACTTATAAATAATAACCCATTGTACCTACAGTTATTTGGGGGATGAAATGAGATAAAATATGTAAAGTGCTTTGCTGTACTTATTTGGAACATTTTTCAGGATATCTGGCTTCTGCTGGCTCTCTCTTTGGGTGGTCAAGTGGTCTTCACTTCCTGGTGCTTCAGTGTGGCCTCTTGGGCTGTTGATAAGTTAATGTCTATAAAGTGCCAAACAGTGAATTTGTCTGGTGCATTTTGAATGTTCAACATTTATGATTGCTAATAACGAAGAAAGGTGTTTTGTAACCATCAATTACATATAAGAGCCCTATGTGTTGGCAAAGTGTTTTAAAAGCAAAGGAGTTCTTAGCAACATACCTCTGTGCTCCTTCCTACCAAAGAGTTGAGAGGAGCTGAATGACAGGAAATGACAGGGAAATTAGATTAGGTGTTAATTGGACATAGGAAGGAAGTAAGATTAGAACTCATAATAACCACAACCAACTTGTCTCTCACCAAGACTGCATTACTACACCAGCCCATCATTTCTTCCCTTTTCACTCCCCATACGTTTTCTAATCCCTTTACTTTGTATGTCTCAGTAAAGAATAGATGCCAAATTTATTGGTCATTTTCCTCCATATGTGACTAATTAAACAATAGAGATTTCACATAAGAAAGTCCTGAAGCAGATCCATTTCCCTTTTTTTATTTTTAATTTATGGAATAAAACAAGCATTTTTGTAATATAATTAAAAAGACACACATGAAATCTATTATGTACAACTTGCTATTCCTTTTAAATATATAATAAAGTTATCATGTAAATTTCTTTTTTTCTTTTCTTCTTCCCTCCCCACCCAACCTAGAGATGGCTACCATTAGACACAAATATATATATATAAAATCATTCTATACGTACTTCTATTTATCAGTTCTTTCTGTGGATGTGTCTTCCTTCATAGGTCCTTTGTAGTTAATTTGAGCATTTATAATAGACAAAATGACTTATTCATTCAAAGTTGTTCTTAAAACAATATTACTGTAAATAAAAAAGGGAACAAAGAACATACTCTTTGCATCCATGGTCACCTTCTCTATTGATGCACAAAGATAAGGAAGCATCCCTTGGCTGGCAAATTTGTTTGGCCAGTATTCATTTTTTTCCACAACTCATAATAAATTATTCATTTATGTATCCATTTTTTAAAAATCAGTATTATGTTTTATTCATAAGACTGCTCACTCACTGTTCAGGAATTCTTTAAAAGCAGTATTTGGAAGCCATGGGGTAAACAGTTCTCCTAGAAGAGAAAATATAATACCTACTATTTGTGTGTTACACATGCAGCATTTTTTTAGATTTGGAGATAATAAAATTACTGACATTTACATAGCACTTTAAGTTGTGCAAAATGCTTTACATATATTATATCATTTGATCTTCACTACAATTTTTGGTCATAGGTACTATAACTATTATTCTCATTTTACAGATGAAGAAATTTAAGTTCAAAAAGTTTAAATGACTTGCTTATGATGACCCAGCTAGTGAGTGAGGAAGGCAAGATATGAATCCAGGTTCTCTTGATTCCAGATCTCATATGCCATCTATGACACCACACAGGCTCTCTTCTAATTTCAAACTCCTCATTTCACAGATGAGTAAAACAGAGATATGGAGAGGTGAAATGATTGCCTTTGGATAGCAGAGGGTGTAAGTGACAGAGCCAAGTCTTTGTCATCATTCCTAAGGATGTGTTAAGGGTTGAAGAGATTACCTCTCCTTCCCACCTCCCCCAAGTTCTTTTTTAGCACCTCAGTGAAAGGAAGAAAAAGTGTATATTACTACAAAGGAGGAGGAAGAAAAGCATACAGAGGAAGAAGAGAAAGAAGAGGAAAAGTTGAGCAATGTTCCAATTCAAAATCTGGCTTCCAATCCCACAATTCAACTGAAATCTCTCTCACCAGGGTTAACATTGATCTCTTAAGCTAAACACGATGGCCTTTTCTCTGACTTCACCCATTTCTTTTGCCTGTCTGCAGCATTTGTTACTGTTGACCAATACCTCCTCACAAGTATTCTCTTCTGGGTATTCATGATACTGTTTTCTGCTAGTTCTTCTATTTGTCTGGTTGCTCCTTCCCATAATCACTCATATTCTAGCCTTTAATTCTAGGACTTTGTCTTCCCTTCTTTTCTTTTATCCTCTCTCCTCTCCCCTTCCCCTTCCCATCCCTTCTCTCTCCTCCTCTCTTCTCATCAACTCCCATAGATTCAACTATCATCTTTATGCAGATGACTCCTAAATCCACATGTCCAGCTAGTATCTCTTCCTGAAGCTCCAGTACTCCATTGCCAGCTGCCTGCTGGATATCTCTGCCTGGTTACCCAACAGGTATTATGAATTCAACGTGCCTAAAGCATAATTCATATCCTCTCCCCACTCCAAACTCAGTTCTCTTCCTAACTTCCACATTTCAGTCTAAAGTACTACAATCTTTCCAATCACCCAAGATGATAACCTTAAGGTTATCTTCAATTCTTCTCTCTCTTTCAGTACCCTGATCTATCTTCACAATACATCTCCCAATTCTGATAGTATAAAGACTCTGGTCCGGACACAACTATGTCCAGACAATAACATTGTGGTTTAACAGATTTGTAGAGACTTATTCTTGGCTCTCTCTGGAGATTCATTCTCCTGGGCTATCCTCCCACCATTGCTTTTACTAGTTTGGAACTGAGACAGTGTTTCTAGGGGAAAAAAAGATGAAGATGATGATAGAAATAAGGATAACAAATACTGAGATGATAATGATGCCTGTGGCTGGGTCTAAGCTTGAAATCTGTCTTCAGGATATTCCAAGTTGAGCCTGATCTGATACACGCTAATTCAGGCTCTCATCCCCTCACCCTTCATCTGGACTACTGAAATAACCTCCTGTTTGGTCTCTTTGCCTCCAGTCTCTCCCCTCTCCAACCTAGCCTCTACACAGGAGTCAACATAGTATTCCTAAAGCAAGTCTGACCATATCACTCACCTGCTCAAGAAAATGGTGGCTTCCTATTGCGTCTAAAAGAAATTACAAACTCTTCATTTTGG